ATTCTGCAGTTCAGACTGACCTCGAACTTCCTGTGTAGCCTAGACTATTCTCAAACTCAGAATGATCCTCCTGCCTAAGTCTCCCAATACTAAGGTTACAAGCATCAGTTACCATGCTTGGCTATTATTATCAATGTAATATTTTCAACAATGAAGAAAGTACATAAAACAGCTCAGGTTTAAAAAAAAAACAAAACTGTGGGTCAATCAAAAGTGGCTAAAACATCCAGAGGTCTGATCACCAAAGCTTAAATTAACATTGATTGGCTCTGATTACCAATGAATTATCACATTATTTATACCTTTTCCTTCAACTACCACATTATTACCTTTTCCTTTATCAACTTTGATGCTAGACTTATCAGAAAACATATCATGCCTTATTAAAACAACACCTCTCTGCTCATATTGGAAAAAGTATGTGCCACTTATAAACATTTACCTGTGTCTTTTTAAAGTACACAAAGTTTCAAGCTGTTTCCAGGGGGTGATATGTAATCCAATTAGTAACAGTGGATCACCGGTAAGACCCTTTTTCAACATTATAACTCTGTAGTGATTATCTATGTGTATAAGATAGTGCCCCAAATCTACCTCTATATTATTTCATTAATTGAAAGTCATTGCCAAAATCTATACCATCCACACAATTGCTACAAAGACCAATGCTTTCAGTTATGCAATATTAATCTTAGAGGGAAAAAAGAATATCATACTGTCTGTTAACAGCTGGAAGTAATAACCCCTGGGAATAAGAGAAAATGTTTCAGAATAACAAATCTCAATACCAGAAGTGCTTTACTTAAATGACATAAACTGCCCTGGTACATCACTACCCAGATTTTAGCTGTTTCTTCTTTTTTAGGATGAAAAAATTAACAACAAAAATAGAAACAAATGAATTTATGATTTTTTTTTTAAAAATGAGTTTCCCCACTTTTATTCAAGAGAAAAGACAAAACAGAAAAAAAAAAAACTTTTTATTAAAAAAAAATGAAAGTTGCATTCTCCAGATCCCGGAGGGCTAAAATTGCTTAGTGTTGAAGGTAGAATATATTAGAATCATGATGAATGTCTTAGAATAGAGATTGCTTCACCACTTACAAGCATAGAGAGAAGCAATGAAACACAAATTCACAAGTACAAAATCCCAAACACAACACTTTCAAAACCAAGATGGCCACAACTCCAATAACAGTAACAAAATACAAATCAAAGTTACACTTGAAATTGGGAATAAATTATGTTAAATATGTCCTGCCTTCAAAGGCAGCAAAGAATGTATTTTATCAACTATTTTTAGAAGTCAGCTGTTATAAAGAGACATCAAACGTGCAATTGAAAATTTTAAAGAAAATAAAATGTTCTCTCAGAACCAGAGGATAGTAGCTTTCACAGAGAAGTCAATATTCTAAAACATAAGAATCATATTGATTCAAAGCAGGCTAAGCTTACTTTTCACAAAAATAAACTGAGAAATGTCGGCAAAGCAAGTTCTCTGTGATCGTTTGTATTCTGCAAACAAGTGCACTTGAAAACTGCACAAATTAACCCCTTCTCTTACCAGTATCAAAACTACTTATTTCAATAAACCCATCATCAACTGTAGCTTTCATCCTTGAAAAAAAGAGTCTCTAATATATACACAAAATTTCACGAGTGATAGAGCCATGTTTGAAAATGTACTATTAAATTGAATGGTAAGAATGAACTTTCCTATCTTTCTTTGATAACAAGTCTTACTTTCTGTCATGAAACAAAGTACCATTCTGTTCGTGACTTGACTACTAATGTGTTTTTGGTGTCCTCTCTTTTTAAAGACATTTCAAGAGTGAGACAATAAATAAACTGCATATAATAAACCACAGCCAAAACCTCTATAACAAAAAGCAGGTGTGCCTAATCACCAGTTGGACAGAGATCTCCTTTTCATCATTCCACTGAGCTGGAGATAGAACCCAAAGCCTTTGCATAACATGCAGGTGGTTTACCACTGAACTGCAGCCCCAGAAGATGTGATTGATTTTTTTTGTACTACTTCAATAATGCAGAATGTTTAATTTTTTAAAAAATATTTACTTTATGTATGTGTGTGCCTGTATGCATTTATGGGCATCATATGTGTGCAGGTGCTGGCAAAGGCCAGATCCCCTGAAACAGAGTTAAAGGCAATGATGAGCTGCCTGATATATGTGCTGTGAGCTAAAACAGGGCCCTTGGAAAGAGTGGTAAGTGCTCTTAACCACAGAGCCTTCCAACTGTCCCCATATTGTCTGTTTGGTTTCTTAAAGGGCTAGGTGATTCATTTTAATTGCATTAGTCTTAAAGCAATTTAACTACCATAAAGAGCTAGTTCTGAAGACTATAGCCACATTTTATAAGCAAGCTCAACTCATGGATTAGCTTCCAGTTTCCACCAAATAGCAAAAGACACATAGTTTATTCAAATGCAAGAGATAATTCTGGCTACCACTTGTTTATTCTCCACATGCTATACTAGCATAATACACAATATATTATGAACTTATGTAAGTTAAATCCTTATGTCAGTTCATATTTATTGATATAGAAATATGCTAGATGTGGTAGCACTCACTTTTAATCCTAGCACTTGACAGGCAGAGTGGATTTCTTCAAGTTGGAGGCCAGTGTGGTCTACATAGTGAGTTCCTGGCTAGCTAGGGCTATATAGTGAGATTCTGTAGACTCTAAAACAAAAACAAACAGAAGACCCAAAATACACTTGGGTGAAGCTGCATGTTTTGCAGAATTGTCAGACCGCCCAAATCTACTCTTCAACTAACATTCTCCTCAGTAGGATGACAGGAGTTATGCAGTCACCTCCTTGAATATGCTTTTTACCTTTAAAAGAAAGGCGGAGAAAACCAGGGCTGGAAAGATGGCTCAGCAGTTAGGAGCACTTAAAGCTTTTTCAGAGCACAGAAGTTTGAATCCAGCACTCACATGGCGGCTCACAATCATCCCTAACTACAGTTCCAAAGGACTTGATACCTTCTTAGATCATAGGGGCAAAACACCCACACACATAAGATAAATAAATTTTAAAAATCATTTCTGTGATGGCTAACGCTACGTTTCAAGTTTAAAATCTCTGTACTTAAAAGAACTAAGTATGGGCTCTGCCCTGCAGACTATCAAAGCAGACGCTGAGACTTATGGCCAACTGTTGGGCAGAGTGCATGGAATCTTATGTAAGAAGAGGGAAATAGTAAGAGCTGGAGAGGACAGGAACCCCACAAGGAGAGCAAGAGAACCAGAAAATTTGAACACAGGGGTCTTCCCAGAGACCCATACTCCAACCAACGACTATTCATGGAGATAACCTAGAACCCCTGCACAGATGTAGCCTATGGCAGTTTAGTGTCCAAGTGGGTTACACAGTAATGGGAAGAGGGACTGCCTCTGACATAATCTGATTGGCCTGCTCTTTGATCACCTTCCCCTGATGGGGGAGCAGCCTTACCAGACCACAGAAGATAACAATGCAGCCACTCGTGATGTGATCTAATAGACTAAGATCAGAAGGAAAGAGAAGAGGACCTCCCATATCAGTGGACTTGGGGAGGGGCATGCGTGAAGAAGGGGTAGGGAGGGTGAGACCGGGAGGGGAGGACGGAGGGGATTGTGGGGGGATACAAAGTGAATAAAGTATAATTAATAAAAAAAAATAAAATTATACATAAAAAAAAACTAAGTATGAAGCAAAATTAGACCTCCAAATGTTAAGGGTTGTTAAGGGTTAATATTTTTACTGCTGTTTCTGTAAACAAGCTTGTTTTGCACTAGAAGACCTTCTGCATGCAGCAGAACAAACTGTAATTTTCTATTCTTTGCCTTTATAAACCCCTTACTGAGGTGTATGCGCACTGCGTTCGGGAATCCCAAGTTATTGGTGTAGACCGGCGCCAGTTTCTGAATAAACGCCTCTTCTTTGTTAAAAGTTATTAATGTGTCAGACTGGTGATAGCTCAGCAGGTAAAGACGTTTATCGCCAAGGTGTAAGACCCTCTGAGTTCCACTCCACTTGGTCGAAAAAGAACCGATTCCCTCAAAGTTGTTCTCCGACGGCCCATTTCGCGCGCGCAAAAACAATCACTAAAATTAAGAGAAACGTAAAATAATACCAATTTCAGGCAAAATAATAATAATAATAATAATAATAATAATAATAATAATAATAATCTGGCGCAGTGCTGGGCATAGAATTCCCGGCTTGCCCAAATTAGGAAAGCACGGTGCCTCCGAGCTACAAACCCAGCCCAGGATAATCGAGGGCTACTTCTTCGTAACAGAGGAATCAATCACCAGGTTGTAAATTCCGGGTGATAACTACGCAGGACACAGCTACGTACTTATCAAAACTTTCATTTTTGCATTTCCAACAAAAACTCAGTATTTAAAAATTTCATTGTCAGAGATTATTTTTAAAACTTCATTAAGACTGGACTATTCATAAATCAGTGAAAAATGAGCTTCATAAGCGTGGGCTCGACTGCATCAAGTCAGTCAGTAAGCGGGTGCATCCGAATCCACGCTGCTCTAACACACCACAGCTTTTAACTGTCAGATGGGCACACGCTGTCCTGCGGTCTCAACTCACGATCAACGACCCGCGGACCCAGCAACACCAGGCCGGGCGCCCAGGGCAGCAGGCCGCGCCGCGCCGCGCCGCAGGTTTCGTCGCCGCCACGTTCTGACTCGACGGTGGGCAGACCGTCCCCGACCGCGCCGCGTAGGGAGCCCGTGCCGCCCGTAGGGCATCTCGGCCCCTTAGACGAACTTACCCGAAAGAAGTTTCTCCTCAGTGCGAGGCTGGTGAGGGCAACGGAAGGGCTCGTCGGTGTGGCGGCCCCGGGAGCAGGCGGTGACGACATCAGCGAGCGCAGCAATGGCAAGGCCCGGATTACAGCCGGCCGGAAGGGGCGGTACGACTCCGCTGCGGCGCGGTGCCACGTCACAGCCACGGCTGGGGCTTCCGGAGTGGGCTTTTGAATATGTCGCGCCAGCAGGGAGGCCGGAGGTTTGACCCGCGTGCGGGATTCCGCACGGAGGGCAAGGACAGAGGTCCCTCTGTTCCCCAGGGTCTGCTGAAGGCAGCGAGGAGCAGCGGCCAGCTCAACTTGGCGGGAAGGAACCTCGAAGAAGGTGAGGCAGCGCGCAGCGTTTTGGTCCTCTGTGCAGCCCACTCGCGCCAGCGTCTCCTGGAAGAGGCCCTGCTAGGACCGTGGCCCTGAAGCGTTCGCTGGGAAGTCTGCAGAATGTGGGGTAAACGTTGAAGTTTGGGAGTAAACTAGCTACGAGATGATAGGTACTTGATTTGACCATCACCTTCCTCTTAATTTGGTTTTACTAGCCCCCGACTGTCAGCTTATAACATTTTCCTTGTGTCAAGTCCCTTCTTTTTCTGAGCTGATAAAAATCCCAATGACAAATAACGATTATATTTTCTAGGTAGTAATTGAAAATAAATACTGAAGAGTGTATGAATTTGAGAACTTTTTAAGAAAACCGCGCATGACTAATGAGCACAAATCTGCATATTGCTATAAATACCTTTGGTAGTGTATGTGTTGTTGGAGTGGACAGGAACAGAGAGAGGAATGAGAAGTAAATTATTCTTTATGTATTTTTTATACTTGCATTGATTAAAATCTTCTAATAGTGCACTTGCATATCTATAAGGTAATCTAAACAACGGAATGATGACTAGTTGTGTCAACTTGACACAATCAATGAGGGATCATCTAGTTCCTGTTCTCTTGCATGTCTGAGAAGACCTATCTTGGTGAATAATTGATGTAGGAAGATCTAGCTGACTGTGGGCTGCACCATTTCCCAACTTGGGTCTTAGACTATATAAGAGTGAACTGTATAAAAAAAAGTGTGCATGCCTTGATTCATCTCTCCCACTGCTCTGGATTGTAGTTGTGATATGGCTAGCTGTCACATGTTCTTGCCACCTTAACTTCCCTGCAGTAATGGCCTGCAAGTGAAATTGTGAGCTAAAATAAACTTTTCCTCTAAGGTGCTTTGTTATGGTATTTACCACAGCATCAGGAAAGAAGACTAGGATAGACATTGGCACCCAGGAAATGGAGTCATTGCTGTGGTAAACCTTACTGTGTGGTTCCGAGGACATTTGAACTTTTATATAGCTAGAATGTTGAAGGCTTTGGAGTGTAAGTCTAGGAGAGACTGAATGTTATGGGCAGAGCTTAATAGGCTGCTTTTTATGGGAAGTTGGAAGATAAGAATGCTGACAGAAATCAGACATTGGAATTCTGACTGGAAGTTTCACATGGAAACAAGGACTGTGTTCGGAGCTGGGTTAGCAGCCATTTGTGTTGTATTTTTCCCAAGAATGTGGCTTCATTCTTCCCATGGCCTGAGTACCAGAGGGAAGGTGAAGATGATGTACTGGTTTGTTTGGCAGAGGCAATTTCTGGAGGAGAGTATTCAGGCTGGTACTGAAAAGGCAGCTGTAACTGATAAGAAGGCCAGCATCACTGCAGAGCTCATGTGCAGCACTGGAACAATAGCAAAGTGTTTCTCTGGTGTCAGCACAGGGCAGCCTGTGTGGACTCTGGGAGATTATCTTGACTATGCTAATTGATGTAGGAAGAATTTTTTACTTTTGATCTCAATTTCCTTTCTGAATTTTTCTTCCATGTTCCTAACTTTTTCATCCACGTTGCATATGTTTTCATCTGTTTTGCTGACTGTCTTCTCTAAGGCCTAGATTGAAATCATCTGCTTGTTTGTATCTTTTAATATACTGAGAATTTCTTACCAGAAAATTTGAAAGTTTCATGTGACATTTTATCTATTTCAGTATCTGTGAAGAGCAGTTTTGCAAATTTTTAGGGATCATAGTTCTTTGCTTTTTCATGTTTTTTATAGCTCTGTGTTGCAGTTTGCACATCTCTTGGTTTGTGTATCTAGTCTAGAGTTTTGAAGGGTGTTTTCATATTGAGCAGACTGTTCTTGAAGGCTCAGTTTACCATCCATCAAGAAAGAAATAGACTGTTGTGACTCCAAACTATCAAACTACAAAGATTACATACACTAAAAATTTGGTATTGCTCACTAATATACCATCAGTGGTTGTCAGAGTTAGGGTTTTTATTGCTGTGAGGACCATGACCAAAAGCTATTTAGGGAATAAAAGGGTTTTTTTTTTGGCATCATTGAAAGAAGTCAGAGCAGGAACCTAGAAGCAGAAGTAAATGCTGAAGCCATGGACCAGTGCTGCTTACTTGCTTGCTCTTCAGAGCTTACTCAACTTATTGTCTTATAATATCCTGAACCACCAGCCCAGGGAAACCATATACAATGGGCTGGGCCCTCCTCTGCCAATCATTAATTTTAAAAATGCTCTAAAGACCTGTAGATAGCCTGATCTTATTAAGGCTCCCTCCTCTTAAGTGACTCTAGCTTATGTCAATTTGACTTAAAAGTAGTCAGCACAGAAATATTGTTTCCAAGTTTGGGGGAAGGAGTATAAACAAGTTAAATGATTGTGTGGAAAGGAATAATAGAAACATACAAAATTAAAATATAGCATAGTAAAAATCCAAACTTGCAGAAAGAAAAAAAGAGAGAGAGATGCTGGAACAACTTTCTGTTCTTTTCCCCTATTCTTTTCCTTTTTGAATTTCAACACTTTTCTTCTATTTGTCTCTTTGGTATTAAAATCTCTTTTCCCTATTCTGACTCCCTTTTCCTGGCTCGTACTGAGGGAAGCCTCCATTTCAGCATTTCACTGGGGAGTCTCTGGTGAATTCGAATGCCATTTAAGACAGAGCATAGCTAGTGATTGATTGGATTGAGTAATGCCATTCCAAGTTCTGTGTCACCATGCCTGCAGCCATACCTTTGTCAAGGAGTGAACACTCTCCTTACACAGTTTGACTGCACAGGTACAGAAGTAGATTTGCTACACTCTGTTAGGAAGCTTCTTCCTAGAGATTCAAGCTTTTGCTTATCTCAGTGCAGTGCTATGGATTGAACCTAGGTCCTTGCCTGGAGACAAGCCACTCTAGTGAAGCAGCCATTTCATAGTGACTGTTATACTCACTACATTATAGGAGATACCTTTTGTTATAGTACAATGACATTTTGTTTGGTGGGTAAGAAACAAAATGATGTCTAGTGAAGTGGAGAGCAGCTGCTAGGGTCAGACACTTCACAGGCTGTAATGGCAAGTGCCTTTGCAGGGCTTAGAGTGTAGTGCTGACATATACCTGCTTTGAACCCTGGATAGTTCACACATTTTCTCACCTACAAAATGGGAATAGTAAAGCCACCTGTCTCTCAGAGATGTTAGGAGAGTTCAATGTTAGTGGTTGCTTTAAAATGTGTGTGTCAGTTTCTCTCTTTATCCCTGCTGTGACCCAAATAATTGACTGGACTAGCTTTATGGCATAATATGAGCAGTTATTAATCTATCTGTAACCCTCTAAGTTAATCTGGCAAAATCCCAGAGATACTTGCACTTAATGGCTTTTTTCTGCTCCAGCTGCTCTTTTCTCATAATGTCTCCTGGACCTCTTCTGGAAGCTGAATCCCGTTTTCCTCCCTCTATCTCCTCCTTCCCTGGCTGGCAGGGGTTCAGCCTTATTCTCTCCCCTGCTCAGTGATTGGCTGTAGGCTGCCTTGTTGACATATCAGGGGACATTGGGGAGCAGTGTTTATACAACATTGATACAAGAGATTCTCAGAACAAGGAATACAAACAAATATGGGGCCCCAGAAATCAGCATTTGAATCTTTACACAGTACACAATAACATTATGCCTACAGTTTAATGTATGCCGTGTTTTCAGTGCTAGGAATTAAACTTGAGGTCTCATATAAAATACACATTGCAGTCTTTCTTTTTTCTAATAAAATAAACTTAAACTGTGTAATTTATTCATGTTTGGCTTATTGAAATTTAAATTCTTTTAAAATTATTTATTGATTTACCTGTACACACATGGGCAACTCAGGGAACAACTTTCAGGAGTTACTTTTTCCACCATGTGTGTTCTGAGGATCAAACTCATGTGAGGCTTAACAGCAAGTGTACTTACCTGCTGCGGTGGTGTGAATGAGAAGGCCCCCATAGTTTGAATATTTGGTCCCAGGTGGTAGAAGTGTTTGGGAGGATTGGGAGATGTGACCTTGGAGAAAGTGTGTCACTGGGGGGACTTTGAAGACTCATACATTTTTCCAGAGTACCTTTCTCTGCCTCATGGGTGTGGCTCAGGGTGCAAGCTCTGATCATTTACTTCACCATTGTACACTCTAACACTCTGAAACCTTAACCCAAATTAAACACTTTATCAGTTGCCTTGGTCATGATGTTTTCTTACAGCAGTAGAAAAGTAGCTAATATACCTACCAAGCTGTCCCTCAGGCCCTGGGAGCTACTTGGGTCCATTGTAAGCTGAGTACTCAGTGAGTATGCCATGTAGTATTCACTTCGTTTTTATCCCCCACACCCCTTTTCTTCCTGATGCGATGGTGATGGAGATAGTCCCTCAGTGTGTATGGAGAATAAATGTGGACATCCCTGAGGAGGCCAATCAGAATCTTTCATTCAGTTCTACTGAGCGATGGTGGGAGCAGACCGATCTGACCAAGCTAATCATCTCCAGCAATAAACTCCAGTCTCTTTCTGATGACCTCCGACTCTTACCTGCCCTTACTGTTCTTGATGTAAGTTGACTGTAATTACTGAATCTTAGTTGAAAAGACTAAATTTTGCCAAGTTGAAGAGCTAAATTTAGGGTTTGCTAAACAAGAAATCTTCATTGCTGACCTTGTAGAATGAAAGAAAAATAAAAAACTGAATTGGAAGGTTGGCTCTGTGTCTCCATGGCCACAGACCAAATGTAGATGCTGGGATTAAATGAGTGTTGTGTGCAAACAGCACTGGCACTTGGCCTCTCTCTCTCTCTCTTTTTTTTTTTTTTTTTTTTTCTTGTTACTTTTATTCTGGACACTAAGGCAAATATGGAACTTGCACTTTTTGCGATCTTGTTTTGTAACTTGCCGTCAGACTCATTGACTGGAACTATTCAGCTGATTTTTTTTGTGTGTGTGTTTTTAATTGAGTGTTTTGTAATGCTGACCTGTCATATGAGAAGTGAATGCAAACGGTTGTTTTTAGAATCTGCAGACTTCCACTGTACTCGGCAGTGTCCAGATTCTTCAGTTCATGTGTGGAGATGATGGATGTCAGAGTGTCATTCTTGGAGGTGGTATCGGTTTTGTGTGTAAAATAACAAAATAATAGTCTGGCTTACTCTGAGGCTCTTTTTACTGTGAGACTGTAAAGCTGTTATCCCATCTCATGTTTGTGATGTGTGTGAAAAGATCGCCAGAACACTGCTGCTAGGTTCTACCTCTGAGTTTGTGGAAACAGGACTTAGGTCAAGTTTGTGTTTGTCTCTTTTCATTTTGGTAGTATTTAAATGAATAGCTTATTACTTTACAATTTCTGAACAGCATTTTGGTCAACAGAATAAATTACTGATCAGCCAACACATTACCACTGAATTTGAAGAACAGGATTTTAGTGAATAATTTTGTTCAGTGGCAAAGCTGAAATATTCCTAATTGTAAAACTAAGAATATTGTCTTTGTATTGTAATCATTTTAGATTCATGATAATCAGCTGACGTCACTTCCTTCAGCTATAAGAGAGTTAGACAATCTTCAGAAACTTAACATCAGGTAAAATCTGAACCTATTCTAAATATGCAGATCAGTGGTGTGAACCTGAAATCCCTTTTCTTCACCTAGAAAATATCCTGGAGCTGCAGGGTGGCCCAGTGGGAAACAGGGTTGAATGAGTTCCAGCCCAGTACCAGTGTGACCCAAAACTGCTGTGCCTTGGTCTCACAAGTCTGTGGGGCTGTGCATAGCGACTTTATTTGCCTATGTGTTGTTTTTTAGAATTTATTACATGCTCTTGATTTTACAAATATAAGGTCAGTTGATTTTTATGTTTTATGTTTATGATACTGTTTTATTAGAAAACCTCTTTCTCAGAGTCTTAGGTTTTTAAAGAATTCTTTTAGCCTAAAAGTCTAAGTATTATACAGTCCGTTAGAAATAATAATTACTTCATTAGTGCTGAAGAATTTTGTGTCCTCCTGTTATTTTGGTTTGAGTGTTTGGGTTTGTGATACTTCATGGAGAAGTCAGGACCTTACATGTGCTTGGCAATGGGCTGAGTCCCAGCCCTGGTGACTTTACTGTTAGTTAAACATGTCCAAGCTCCTTTGGGCTCCATACACGTGTTTCTGGAATTGCATTCCTAATGGCTAATATTTGCTTCCAGTACACAGCTAGATTAAGAAAGTATGTTTGTCTTATCTGTTATGTAGATAATTCAAACTCCGAGATTTTTTTTTTTTTTAGAAGAATAAAAGTACTTAAAGCATAGTTTGACTAACTTGTTTATAAAATAGGTATGGTTACAGAGGTATTAGACATACTATAGTGAGAGATGTCTTTTAGTGCTACATTAACTAGGAGGGAACAATGTCATAATATAAGAGGCCAGTAAGTCTCTTTCACATTACATGCTAAATAAACAGATTATAAACAAGCAATCAAAAGATTACAAATTATTTGTTAGCTTAAGAATATTTTTTTATTGATTTTTTTTTTCTTCAAGCCCTACTTAGTTGGTTTAGATTTCTGTTGATAGGTGTCTATTTTAGAGATGTGGATCTTGATAAACAATTAACAAGTGAGCCATTTGATAGTTATGATGAGCCCTTAGTTGACAAAAATGCCTTTGGTAAATATTTCTTACATAGTTTACTACTAAGTCACTCAGCATTTATTTTATTAACTAACAGCCATAACAAACTGAAAATGCTCCCTGAAGAAATTACAAGCTTAAAAAATCTGAAGATGCTGTACCTCCAACACAATGAGCTGACATGCATACCTGAGGGATTTGAGCATCTGTCCAACTTAGAAGATTTAGTAAGTTATGACTCTTTGCCCTTCACAAGATTTGGGGCTGGTGGGAATTTTCACTAGGCTGAGAAACTGAATATATGGGTCAAGTTGCAGGACACAGCTGATTTTATGAGTAGCTTACCAGAACTTTAATTAGGTTGCTGAATTACTAACTGTAAACATGGCTTTTCTATATTATCACAGAAAAGTAAACTTTAAGTGAACTTTAGGTAATCCTTCAAAAATAGAGTTTGGAAGAGAAAAAGTGGATGAGACTTTGATAGTCAGAGGCTTTTTGTTTTCATTTAAAGAGGGCATCAGCTCTTCGTATCTTCAGTTCCAGAGTTTCCAGCACTTTCTTCTGGATACCAGAGTGTAACAGGAGTTAAAGACAGTTGAGTCATCATGTAGGTGCTGGGACCAAATGTGGGCCTTTCCCAAGAGCAGCTAAATGCTCTTAAGTGCTGAGCAGTCTGTCCAGCCCTTATCCCATATGCTTTTATATTTTAATAGAAGAAAGTGGTCCTCAAAGTATATCAGTTCTTTTCCCTGTCCTTTCTATATTTTATATTCTAGTCTCAGTATTACCCAGTGGCACCACTGCCCTATGTATTCCAATTTTTCCATGCTTACTTTACTCCAGTTATTAAATTGCTACCTTTTTTGGTGAAGCTTTCGTGCTTCCTGTTTCATCTTCCTTAACTGCAGTTAAACCATAAGTCAGTATGATATTATTTTAATAATTTTAAGATAAAAACCATAGACAGTTTGCATTGACTTTATATATGGCAAAGTAAGTATAAGTACATCTGACCTTTAATACAGAAGAAACTGAAGCTTATACAACAGGAAATTTGTCCTAAGTCATGCAGTTAACAGTGAACGAAATTAAGATTTAAAGGTGGCATTTTGCCTCCGAAGCACATTTTTTTCCTCTCCATTATAACAGGATGAGATTCTACAATAAGGTATTTCAACTGAAAGGCTCAGTCCAGCAATAGTATATGCTCTCAGTACTTCATACTGGGCTCTTATTCATGTTTTAGAGAATTAATTTATCATTTTAGCCTTAAGTTGTATTTCTTACTAATGAAAAAGTTATTTCTGAGTGTTTAAGAATTTATTCTGTATGTACACCTTCCTATATTTGTCTACCATTTGTGCTAGTGTTTAAAATTAAAAATTGTCTTTCAATCTGATCATAGTGGAAGTAAGGCTTGGGAAGTTGTTGTTATAAAGAAAGAAAATCCCAATCATTCAATTTTACCAGTAAAAACTCAGGAGTCAGGTAAAAGCCTACTAGCTCAGAGAGGGAGAGAAAGCACCCAACTGACCTTCCTACTAACATCCCAGAGGAAAAAGCTTTTCCTACTCAGCTCATATCCCAGATGGAAAAAGCCAAAAGCTATCCATGCTCTGTTAAATACTTTTCTCTCAAAGTTTCTACTTAAACCTTGTCAGCTGGCTTCTTGCTCCAAATCTTGACCTAGGGTTAACTCTATTTAGCTCTTGTTTACAGAAAGCTCTTGGATTAATGGTGGGTGCCAGGGCCAGCCCTACCACACCGGCCTGTTTACAATAAGCAGAAAGTTCTTGGGTTAAAGCTGTGTGCTAGAGTTGACCCACTCCACAACTAGAAACAGTCTTCCTGCAACAGGAAGTAAATGGCGTTTGCAAATAAAATGAAAGAAAGGAGGGAACCATTAGATCGTCTTATAAAGATTTTAATTGTGTAAGTTAATTTTATAGGAAAACTTTAAAGTTGATTTTAAGAACAAATATATTCTTATGTGTTTATGTTTGTGTGAGTGTATGCCACATTCATGCAAGTGCTGAAAGAAGGTGTTGGGCCCTTGAAGCTGAAGTCAAGATTGAAAGTAGCACTTATCTCTGATTATAAACGTTTAGAAGGGAGTTTAACAGCACAGCCATTTAGCAAAGTCACACTAGTAAGTTCCTCTACCTGTCCCCAGAGCCTATGACTGTCCCGGTCTTGGGCTTTTGACCATGTTTACAATGCTAGCATCAATTCTCTTCCATGGAGCAGGCCTCATATCCAAGCATAAAGCTCTTGTCACCCTCATAACAACAGTCAAGCCACTACTGTAGGTACACCTTACTTATCAGGTCAGTATTACACCGTGTAGGGTCCAGTATTGAGTAAGCTCATTGTATCTTCCCCAGTGGCTGCACCTCCTGGCATTCTGAAAGCTAGTCAGCATGGAGGAAGTTTCCTAGTCAATTCCATATTATCTTTGCCCTTCAAACAAAGTGTAGCAGTGGAGTCTTAACCAACTAGTTGTGGTAGGCAGTGAACAGTAGTGGAAATAACCTGTGTTGCTTGAGGGCCTTGGGAACTCCCTGATCAGTAACTCATAGGCAGGTAATCTAGGCCTGGCACTGAGATTGTTTTAATGACCCACGTCTTCTGGAAACAGCACTATCTGCCAGTGCAAGGCATCTGTACTAAAACTCTTCTTATTTAAATGTTACACATACCAAACTCATCCACGTGAGTTTTGTTCTTAATTATATGTGTGTGAACTCAGTTGTATGAGTGTGAGTGTGTACATGCAAGTATGGGTACTTGTGAAAGCCAGAAGAGGGCATTGGATTCCCTGAGAGTTACAAGTCGTTGTGAGCTGCCTGATATGGGTTCTGGGAACCAAACTCAAGTCCTGTGAAAGAGCAGTATGAACTCTTAATCGTCCCTCCAAGTTTTTAATTACATTTTTAACTTAGTTTACACAGTAGGATTTTCATACACCCTAGTTTTGTGTACCTTCCAAAATCCCACCCTCTTTGGTTCTCCATCCCTCTGCCCTATCCCTACTTAATCCTATAACCTACAGAATTCTTTTATCATCTTTTGAATCATGTGTTCTACTGTAGAGGTATGACTTAGTATTAGTAGGCCCCTGTTGTTTTTTAAAAAATTAAAATCCCAGCCATTCTGTTTTACCAATAAAGACTCTAGAGCCAGATGCTGGGATGAAAACCTAACTCAGAGAGGCATAGAAAGTACCCAGCTGACCTTCCTTCTCAGCTCAGGTCCGGATGGAAAAAAAACAAAAGGCTCACACGAGTACAACTGATGGCTCGGGAGGAAAAGGCCAAAAAAACTAAGGCTGAAGGCTTGCTAGCTCAAAGCCAAAAAAGTCAGGGAGCTGAGAAGCTGAAGCCTAAGCTTAAAGCCAGAGCTTAAGCTCTTTCTTCACATTGTCTTAGGTACCCTTCAACTCCAAGTCCCTCCTACTGTTCAGTCCCTATCAGCTGATTTCTTGCTCCAACTTTTGACCTAGGGTTAACTTTATTACATCCTGTTTACAAAAAGCTCTTGGATTAATGGTGTGTGCTAGGGCTCAATTATACCAAACAAGAAACAGAGTTTTATAGTTCACATTTTGGGGATTCACAATGGGATCAAATATCTTGCAGCAGACCCCAGCATGTAAAATACTTTCAGAGTAGGGAATGATTTTAATTTCTGCCCATGACTTTGATGGACACATAGTGCTATCGAAGAGGAGCATTTGAGTGAATCTTGGTCTTTGTGACAGTGGCTGATGTTGAAAATACCAGTTCCTCTGAAGTCATCTCTCATCTTAAAATGTCTTCATAACTCTGAAATTCCTTTCATAGGTATCTATTTACTGCTATTTACTCATTTATAGATTCATTCTGTCTTTTCTTTTTGAAGGATCTTTCAAACAATCGTCTTGCAACTGTGCCTGCTGATGTTGCTTTGCTGTCCAGTCTGCTGCGGCTCAACCTTTCTAGTAACCAGCTGAAGAGTTTGCCAGCAGAAATAAGCAGAATGAAAAGTAAATCTCCATAGTAAAAACTGTATGAATTTGAAGTTAATGCAACTTTCTTTTAGAAAAGAAATTGTTAATACAGAGAAAGTAAATTATTTTAAATGTAAATGCAAACACTACTTAGTAATATTTTCTCTAGACCATTATATCTATGCTCTGCCTAAAGAATAAATACCAAAAGACATGTAGCCTTATGACAAAATGAAAATATGACTAGTGAGTAGAAGAAAAGAACTTACTGGGAAGTAGAAGGTTCTGCTTCATGCTGTCATAATGTATCTATTCACCATCCTTTCCTTTTCAGCTGACTTCACATGTGATTTGTAGCTACCCTTGGCTTGGAAATAATGATACCTAATGAGAGTTCTGTTTTGCCTGAATGCCCAGATTGTTAATCCTATTTTAAAATAATGAAATATCAAAAGTTAGTGCTTTGTCATTCATCATTGCCAATTCAGAGTGTTGCAGAGATATTATTAAGGAACACAGGTACATTTGGGTGCCTCAATTTGTATTCTTGACTATCTCAGAACTTTTTTTTTTGTTTGTTTTGTTTTGTTCTTCAAGACAGGATTTGTCTGTGTAGCCCTTGCTGTGCTGGAGCTCGCTCTGTAGACCAGGCTGGCCTTGAACTCAGGGATCTGTCTGCCGCTACCTCTCATGTGCTGGGATTAAAGGCATGGACCACCATGCTAGGCTCACAGAGCTATTATTTTATAGTGTAAAACCTTGTTTGTTTGTTTGTTTGTTTGTTTGTTTGTTTAAAGGCAGAAAACATGGTTAGTATTTCTAGATTCATGACCGTGCTACTTCCCACCATATACTGTTTACCATAGCTAGTCTTTTTTGGACTAGTAATATAGAAGACATTTTTCTTGAGAAAGTATAATTATAAATTACATTAAAATTATATACTAAGAAATTGATAGAGATTTTGAGCTGTTATCTCATACAACTCAGGCTGGCCTCAGACTTAGTTTGATCTTTCTTCTTCTACCTCCCTAGTGCTGGGATTGCACATTTGAGTTGTTCTGTCCAGCTCTTCTTGATATCTTTAGAAGTCATAGATGTGATTTTGCTACAATTGATTGTAGATAACTTTGAATTAAATTCTAAGTCTTTGAGGTTTTACTTTAACAATACTATAAATGCAGTTATTCTGGGCAGGCCTTGACCTTTTTTACCAGTACTTAGGATTCAACTTATCTTTGCAATTTTCAGTAAGTTACTACTCTGAACTAACATAATACATAACCAGAAGGACAATATGAAGAACATGTCCCATTCCTCCCTCCTTCCCTACCAAGATCAAACTCAAAACCTATGTGTGCTAGGCAAGTGCTACTGCTGAATCAGCCAGAAGCATGGTTTATGTTGTTGTTGTTGTTTGGTGTTGTTTGTTTGTTTTGTTGTTGTTCATAACTGAACATGCTGAGATAGCACATCTGAGCTCATACAGCAGCCTGATGACTTCCTGACTGTGTGAGTTTCTGTTCTCAGTCATGCTGCAGTGTTTTCCCTCTACTTCACATAGGACATTTGCTTGTTATTTGTTAATGATGAGCAGAGCCTAGGATCTTCCATTTGTGTGATGTTGTGTGATGGTGTTTGCCATTGTCTTAGACACAGTGATAAGGCAAATAGGACAGTGATTTTTACTTTCCTCCCACTTTAAAGATTAATAATTATGGGATTAAAAATTAAGTTTAGAGCTGAGTTTGTATCCCTACACTACGCCCCACTCCACTGCTATATTCTTCAGCTACTACTCCTGATCTGATCCCAAACTTTACAATAACGTTTTTCTTTAGATTTTATTTATTTTATATGTTTGAGTGTTTTGCCTGCATGTATATATGTGCATCACATTTGCAGAGGTCAGACGAGATCCCTTGGAACTAGAATTATGGGTGGTTGTGTGTCACTAGTCACTATGTGGGTGCTGGGAACTGAACCTGGGGCTTCTGAAAGAGCAGAAAGAGAGTGCTCTTAACTTCTCAGCTATCAATGAACTTTGGTGATAGAATTTTACAGATTTCAGTGGATCAGTTCACTTTTTTCTCCTTCATTAATCTAGTCAAATAATATAAACTGTTGGAACAGGCAGAGCATATATATATATATATATATATATATATATATATATATATGTAACCAAAAAATATTAAACTTTTAAAAAATACCCCGTTTTTAGGAGTTAAAAATAGTACTACAATTTTTTTTAAGTGATTAGCATCATATATTAAGAGAAAAAAAACTGAAGGTGGCATATCAGTGCAGTTTTGGATTGTTAAAATTGGCAGGCTTGAAGTTAGGAAAATAAGTTGCAAAATTCATATTGCTTATACCAGTTCATTGGAAGGTTGAGGATGAAATTTTTTTAAATTATTTTCAGTCTTAAAATGGGAGAATGTATGATAAAAATTGTAGTTTTTTTGGAAACTAAAAATTGTTTTTTTGGAAAAGAAAGACATACATCAGGCAGAAGTAGTTATGTGCTTCTGCAGTCTCAGCACTTAGGAGCATGAGCCAGGAGGTTTGAGAATCCAGATCTGAGGCCAGCTTGAGCCTCATAGAGGGAGGACACCCTGTCTCCTAAAACAAATGAACGAACAAAGAAGAAATACTCAGAAGATAAAGGCCTGAAAGTACAACCGTTCTTGAAATACAGTGTTTGATCCTGTTGGGCAGATTAGCCTAGGCACTAGGGAAAGCACATTGGAGCTAGGGAGATGCTCATCTGTAAAATGCTTGTGTACAAGCATGAGGATCTGAATTGGGATACCTGACTCACGGAGAATATCCGTGCTAGGGAGGTGCTGACAGGAAGATCCCTGGGACTCAGTGGCCTAATTATAGAGGTCCTGGGTCATTATGGAAATGATAGATGATACCAAACAGCAATATCTGTTCTTCACACTGAATGCAAACATACACATACACATTGCACATAAAATTCACCACAGAAAAGAAGACAGGCAGAAAAGGAAGACACAAAATGGATGGATGAAAGAATGAGAAGGAGTACATAGAAATGTAAGCCTTGCATAAGAATATAAATATGTGTAAGCCACTGCTGGCCATAAGTTCATCACATTCCCTCACTCAGCAATATACATGCATATTTAGGTGTGTTTACTTACACTAAGCTCTTTTGAAGAAGAGTAATTGAGAGCAGTATGGTTCATACAATATATATACTTAAGGGAAGTTTAGCAGAGTATCTGAAAACTTTGTGTTTTACTGTATTTCAAAGATGGCCTGGACTATTCAATATTGATTTTAACAGTACCTTTTCTCTTTAATTAAGTATAAAAATCAATTTTTATTTACTCAGTGAAAGGACATTTGCATGTTTTTGATTGTCATATCCATAGGAACAGGTTCAGTCTTTGTTGTGATAATGTTGTGATTCTATGTTTTTCTGTAATTATTCTATAACAAGTTATGCTGCATTTATTTCTGTGTAATAAAAGTTAGAGTATCTTTTTATTGTCTCTGAATATGTATTGTAGGGTTAAAGCATTTGGATTGTGATGCCAATCTCCTGGAGACTGTGCCTTCTGACGTGGGTGGCATGGAGTCGCTGGAATTGCTTTATTTGCGGAGGAACAAATTACGTGTTCTACCTGAATTTTCTTCTTGTAGGCTACTAAAGGTACAATTTAGTTAATACTTACACTGTATGTTTTCCAAAAGTTATTTATGAAATTGATGTTTTTAAAAACTAGCTACTCTTTTGGGCACAATCTATGAATGGTATTTTTTTCTGTTGATATCCTTCAAAACTTCATTCTACTACTGAGAGTACTGATGTTTTGTTGGCAATGAAAAGAGATAATCATTTCAGAAGTAGGTTTTGTGTACCTCATGTGGTGAGTAGTTTGTGCCTACAGAAGGGCCTCGTAGTAAGACGAGGTGCTCTGCTGTGCTGTGCTGTGCTGTGCTGTGCTGTGCTGTGCTGTGCTGTGCTGTGCTGTGCTGTACTGTGCTGTGAGGACCTTGTACTTTAGGTTGCCACCTCTCAGGGTTCCCTGATTGCACTTATATCTCTAGAACTAATCTTTTGGCTTTAGGTGTAATGTTAGCACTGCCTGCTTCTGGGTTTGCTGTGTTTTACTTTCTTTTTGGTGTAGGGCAAGTTTCTTTTAAATAGAATTGTGGCAGAAAGTTTTAAAAAATGCTGAGAAATTCCATTCCCTGTTGTAAGTTTTTATTGGTAACTATAGATTATTTTAGGAAGATAGTGTATTATAATGGTCACTAGTAATGATATTCTATAACATTTATGTTGTAGTAATTTAAAAAATGGCTCCTGGGTTATAAGATGTTTATTATTTGCCCTAACATTATCACAGCGTTATTATTTAACGTGCAGTCATAAATAATAAGACATAGACACCTGTTAGATTTTATAATTGCCGTATTTACCTTGGCCTGGGCAGATTTTCACTTACACTGTCAATCTCCCAACTCCCATTCAATGTCATCTTTCTTTTTTTTTTTTAATTCTGTATTAATTACACTTTATTCACTTTGTATCCCCCCCTGTGGTTCCCTCCCTCCTCCTCTCCCAAATCCCTCCCTCCTCCCCTTTCTGCATGCATGCCCCTCCCCAAGTCCACTGATAGGAGAGGTCTTCTTTTCCTTCCTTCTGATCCTAGTCTCTTAGGTCTCATCAGGAGTGGCTGCATTGTCTTCTTCTGTGGCCTGGTAAGGCTGCTGCCCTGTCAGGGGGAGGTGATTAAAGAGCAGGCCAATCAGTTCATGTCAGAGACAGTCCCTGTTCCCATTACTATGGAACCCACTAGGAGACTGAACTGCTATGGGCTACACCTATGCAGGGGTCCTAGGGTAAATCCATGAATGGCCCTTGGTTGGAGTATGATTCTCAGGAAAGACCCCTGTGCTTAGATTTTTTTGGTTCTGTTCCTCTCCTTGTGGGGTTCCTGTCCTCTCCAGATCCTACTATTTCCCACTTCTTTCATAAGAATCCCTAAACTCTGCCCAAAGTTTGGCCATAAATCTCAGCATCCGCTTTGATATCTGCAGGGCAGAGCCTTTCAGAGGCCCTCTGAGGCAGGTTCCTAACTTATTTCCTGTTTTCTTCTTTTTCTTATGTCTATCCTCTTTGTCTTTCTGGATGGGGATTGAGCATTTTAGCAAGAGTCCTCCCTCTTGATTAGTTTGTTTAGATGTACAGATTTTAGTAAGTTTATCCTATGTCTATATGAGTGAGTATATACCGTGTGCGTCTTTCTGCTTCTGAGATAGCTCATTCATCATGATCTTTTCTAGATCCCACCATTTACCTGCAAATTTCTTGATTTCCTTGTTTTTTTATTGCTGAGTAATATTCCATTGTGTAGATGTACTACAATTTCTGTATCCATTCCTCCATTGAGGGGCTTATGGGCTATTTCTAGCTTCTGGCTATTACAAATAAAGCTGCTACAAACATGGTTGAGCAAATGTCCTTGTTGTGTACTTGAGCAAATTTTGGGTATATACCTAGGAGTGGTATAGCTGGATCTTGAGGAAGCACTATTCCTAATTGTCTGAAAAAGCGCCAGAATGACTTCAAAAGTGGTTGTAACAGTTTACATTCCCACCAGCAATGGAGGAGGGTTCCCCTTTCTCCACAACCTTTCCAGCATGTGTTGTCTCTTGAGTTTTTGATCTTGGCCATTCTGATGGGTGTAAGGGGAAATCTCAGGGTTGTTTTGATTTGCATTTCCCTTATGACTAAGGACATTGAACATTTCTTTAAGTGTTTCTCTGCCATTCGATATTCCTGTATTGAGAATTCTCTGTTTAGCTTTTCCCTATTTTTTAATTGGATTACTTGGTTTGTTGCTTTTCAGCTTCTTTAGTTCTTTATATATACTGGATATTAGTCCTCTGTCAGATATAGGGTTGGTGAAGATCCTTTCCCAATGTGTAGGCTGTCATTTTGTTCTGACGACAGTGTCCTTTGCTCTACAGAAGCATTTTAGTTTCATGAGGTCCATTTATTGATTGTTGGTCTTAGAGCCTGTGCTGTTGGTGTTCTGTTGAGGAAGTTGTCTCCTGTGCCAATGAGTTCAAGGCTCTTCCCGACTTTTTCTTCTAACAGGTTTAGCATGTCCATTTTAATATTGAGGTCTTTGACCCACTTGGACTTTAGTTTTGTGCAGGGTGATAAGTATGGATCTATTTGCATTTTTCTACATATAGACATCCAGTTAGACCAACACCATTTGTTGAAGATGCAGTTTTTTTTCCATTGAATGGTTTTGGCATCTTTGTCAAAAATCAGGTGTCCATAAGTGTGTGGATTTATTTCTGGGTCTTCTATTCAATTCCATTGATCCACCAGTCTGTTTCTATGGCAGTACCATGCAGGTTTTAGTATTGTTGCTCTATAGTACAGCTTGAGATCAGGGATGGAGATACCTCCAGAAGATCTTTTACTGTAGAGAATTGTTTTTAGCAATTCTGGGTTTCTTATTGTTCCATATGAAGGTGAGAATTTTTCTTTCCAGGTCTGTAAAGAATTGTGTTGGTAATTTGATGGGAATTACATTGAATCTGTAGATTGCTTTTGGTAAGATGGCCATTTTTACTATGTTAATCCTGCCAAGCCATGAGCATGGGAGATCTTTCCATCTTCTGATATCTTCTTCTAATTATTTCTTCAGAGACTGGAAATTTTTTTCATACAAGTCTTTGACTTGCATGATTAGGTTCACACCAAGGTACTTTATGTCCTTGGTGGCTATTGTGAACGGTGTTGTTTCCCTAATTTCTTTCTCAGCCCTTTTGCTTTGTATACAGGAGGAGGGCTACTGCTTTTTTGAGTTAATTTTGTATCCAGCCACTTGGCTGAAGGTGTTAATCAGCTGTAGGAGAGCCCTGGTAGAATTTTTGGGATCAACTCAGGTACACTATCATATCATCTGCAAATAGCAATAATTTGACTTCTTCCTTACCAATTTGTATCCCCTTGATCTCTTTCAATTGTCTTATTGCTCTAGCAAGGTCTTCCAGAACTATGTTGAAGAGATACAGAGAGATTGGGCAGCCTTGCCTTGTCCCTGATTTCAGTGGGATTGATTTAAGTTTCTCTCCATTGAGTTTGATATTGGCTATAGGCTTGCTCTATATTGCCTTTACTATGTTCAGGTATGTGCCTTGTATCTCTGATCTCTCCAAGACTTTAAACATGAATGGATGTTAGATTTTGTCAAGTGCCTTTTCAGCATCTAAGGAAATGATCACATGTTTCTTCTCCTTCAGTTTTTTTATGTGGTGGATCACATTGATGGATTCCATATATTGAACCACCCCTGCATGCCTGGGATGAAGCCTACTTGGTCGTAGTGGATAATATCTTTGATGTGTTCTTGTATTCGTTTTGCAAGTATTTTGTTGAGTATGTTTGCATCGATATTCATAAGGGAAATTGGCCTGAAATTCTCTTTCTTTGTTGGGTCTTTGTGAGGTTAAATACCAAGGTGACTGGCTTCATAGAATGAGTTTGGTAGTGTTCCTTCTGTTTCTATTTTGTGGCATAGTTTGGAAAGTATTGGTGTTAGCTCTTCTGTGATGGTCTGGTAGAATTCTGCGCTGAAACCATCTGGCCCTGGGCTATTTTTGCGTGGTAGACTTTTGATGACAGCTTATGTTTTTCTAGGGGATATAGGACTATTTAATTGATTTACCTGGTCTTGATTCAGCTTTGGTATGTGCAATCGGTCAAGAAAATTGTCCATTTCATTTAGATTTTCAAATTTTGTGGCATATAGACTTTTAAAGTAAGACCTAATTATTGTTTGGATTCCTTCAGTGTCTGTGGTTATGTCCCCCTTTTCGTTTCTGATTTTGTTGATTTGGATAGTGTCTCTCTGCCTTTTAGTTAGTTTGGCTAAGGGTTTGTCTATCTTGTTGATTTTCTCAAAGAACCAGCTCTTGGTTTCATTGATTCTTTGAATTGTTTTATTTGTTTCTAATTGATTGATTTCAGCTCTGAGTTTGATTTTTTTTTTTTTTTCAGCCATCTACTCCTCTTTGGTGTGTCTGCTTCTTTTTTTTCTAGGCCTTTGAAATGAGCCATTAAGTTGCTTACATGAGCTGTTTCGAATTTCTTCTTGAAGGCACTTAGTGTTATGAACTTTCCTCTTAGCACTGCCTTCCTTGTGTCCCATAAGTTTGAGTATGTTGTGCCTTCATTTTCATTGAATTCTAGGAAGTCTTTAATTTCTTTCTTTATTTCTTCTCTGACCCAGCTGTCATTTAGTAGCAAGTTGTTCATTTTCCATGTGTGTGTAGGCCTTTGAGGTCCAGCTTTAGTCCCTGGTGATCAGACAGGATACAAGGCATTATTTCAATCTTCTTGTATCTGTTGAGTCTTGCTTTGTGACCAACGATATGGTCTATTTTGGAGAAGGTTCCATGAGGTGCTAAGAAGAAGGTAAATTCTTTTGTGTTTGAGTGAAAGGTTCTGTAGATGCCAGTGAGGTCCATTTGATTCATGATCTCTGTCAAGAGTTATTGTTTCTTTGTTTAATTTCCGTTTTGTTGATGGGTCCTTTGTTGAAAGTGGGGTGTTGAAGTCTCCCACTGTTAATGTGTGGGGGTCCTTGTGTGGTTTAAGTTTTATTAGTTTCTTTTACAATTGTAGGTGCCCTTGCATTTGGGGCATAGATGTTCAGGATTGTGATATTTTGCTGGTGGATTTTTCCTTTGATGAGTGTGAAGTGTCCTTCTCTATCTCTTTTGATTGATTTTGGTTGAAAGTCTATTTTATTAGATATTAGATTGGCTACTCCTGCTTGCTTCTTGGGTCCATTTGCTTGGAAAACTGTCTTCCAGCCCTTTACTCTCAGTTAATGTCTATCTTTGTGATTTAGGTGTGTTTCTTGTATGCAACAGATTGTTGGGTGTTGTTTACATATCCATTCTGTTAGTCTGTGTCCTTTTATTGGAGAATTGATTCCATTGATGTTGAGGGAGATTAATGACCAGTGGCTGGTAGATCCTTTAATATTGATGTTGGCTATGGTAGTGTGTTTGGGTGTTTGGCTACTTTTTGTTTTGATGTAATGAGGTTAATTATTTCCTGTGTTTTCTTGAAAGTAGTTAGTTTTCTTGGGTTGTATTTTTCCTTCTAGTATCTTCGGTAAAGATACTAGATTTGTGTGTAGGTATTATTGAAATTTGTTTTGTCATTGAATATCTTGTTTTCTCCATGTACGAGGACTGAGAGTATTGCTGGGTACAGTAGCCTAGGCTGACATCTGTGTTTTCTTAGGGTCTGCATGATATCCGTCCAGGCCTCCTGGCTTTCATAGTTTCTGTTGAGAAGTCAGGTGTGATTCTGATGCGTTTGCCATTATATGTTACTCGGCTCTTTTCCCTTGCAGCTTTTAGTACTTTTTCTTTGTTCTGTCTACTTACTGTGTTTTGATTATTATGTGACAGGATTTTCTTTTCTGGTCTAATTTATTAGGTATTCTGTAAGCCTCTTGTATTCTTATAGGCCTCCCCTTTAAGTTGGGGAAATTTTCTTCAATGATTTTGTTAAAAATATTTTCTGGGCCTTAGAGGAGGTAATCTTCTTTTTCCTCTATTCCTATTATTCCTAGGTTTTGTCTTTTTATGTTATCTTGCATTTCTCGGATGCTTTGTGGCAGGAATTTTTTAGATTTATTATTTTCTTTGACAGATACATCGATTTCTTCCATTGTATCTTTCACACCTGAGATTCTTTCTTCCATCTCTTGTAGTCTGTTGGTTATGCTTACCTCTGTAGTTCCTGCTTTCTTTCTTAGGTTCTCCCTCTCCATGATTTCCTCCGTTTGTGTTTTCTTTAATTTTTCTAATTCTATCTTCAGATCTTGAACTGTTTTGTTGATTTCCTTCACCTGTCTGACTGTATTTTCCTTCAATTCCTTCACCTGTTTGTTTGAACATGCCTCTGTTTCTTTTATTTCTTTCAGTGATTTAACCATTTCCTTTCTGAAAGCCACAAACTGTTTGGCTGCATCTTCCTGTATTTCTTTACAGATGCCCATAATTTGTTTTACTATGTCTTCCCCTAAATCTTTATGCGTTTTATTTGCTTTCTCCATTAACCTTTTCATAAGCATAAATGTAAGGTCATCTTCTTGATTTTCATTTATGTTAGGGTGTCCAGGGCTACTTGTCCCTGGATAATTGTGCTCTGGGGATGCCATATTGCTTTGCCTTTTGTTGGTTGTGCTTTTTAACTGCCCTCTACCCATCTCTCTATCTCAGGTGTTGTCTGTTAATTTCTGGTGCCTGCTGAGTCCTGGGGTGCGGAGAATCCACTTGGCGGGGTTCTGAAGGAGATCTCAGCTTTTTGGGTTTGGTCAATTGAATGGTGGTGCTTCTCAGGAATTGTCACAGTTCACTTTAGGCATATGGAACTGTATGGTAACTGTGGTGTTCAGGAAGGCTCTCCTTTCATCAGGAGAGGTCCTGGTGATGGCTGCCCTGCTGCTGGGTTTCTTGCTCTGAATTTAGTGAGCTGCAGCTATTGCTCTTAAGGTTTAATTTTTGGATGCAGCGCTCTTGAAGAACTAGGGATTCCCACAGTTTTGTCAGTTTAGCTAGGGATACTGGTCGAACTTTGGAGCAGTATCTAAGGGCTGCTCTAATGGTGCTCCAGCTTTTGTAGGTCTGAGGATGCAGCTGTGTGCCCCAGTGCCCTAGTGATACTCAATAATGGCAGGTTAGCACAGCGTTCATGTCTGCAGTAGAAGGCTAGAGCCTGTGTGAATCTAGAAAGTCTTCTGGAGCTGGGTGTCCTGAGCATTGGACCTGATGATCCCTCCCCCCCGCTGTGGGATTTCCTCCTGAGAGGGACAGCCAGACTGTGCTTTGGGGACGACCGTTCTGTCTGGAATGGCGAGTAGAACCTGCAGGCCAGATTCTCATGGCTCTGCTTTTCTGGTGATTGGGCGTCTGGGTGTCTACCAAAACTGTAATTTTTCCAGAGACCTTTTCAGGGTGGTGGTATCAGCCGAGTGCTCTGAGATCAGACTGCTGTTCCCCTCCCTGTGGGTTTGCACCCGACAGAGAAACTCAGACTCTGGTGCCATGGGGCCCACAGTTCTATCTGGGACATCGAGTCAGGTGCACAGGCAGGACTCTGTGCCAGTGCCTGCCTCCTCACCTCTGGGCTGGCTCCTGGGCACCTGTGGAACCCCCATCCCTGTCTTTTCCAGAGATTGTCTGTGTGACCTAAGGTCAATCCCGATCGTTTCGTGCACTGTGGAGTTATCTCCTGACTGGAAATGACAGTCTCTGATGTTGTGGGGGCGGGGGGGACAGTGATCAGAGCATGCTTGCGTGCGTGTGGGTCTGGGCTGACTACCAAGCGCCTGGTGGAATGGATACCTCTTCCGAGGTTTAGCTGGGTGAGTTGAAGCTGATTGAGTCCCCACCGTGGGGTATCCTCTCACCTGGGAAACACAATCGCTTGTGTTTTAGAGCTGAGAGTTCTAACTGCTGGTCACTGTGCTGAGCCTGCTGTGCTGCTGGTCAGAGAGAGTGTCATCCCAGTGCCGCCATGTTGGATCTCTCTTCATTCTTAATCCTCCTCATCTTGTCTACCTTTCATCATCCATAATCCAATAGTAGTTGCTTCTGTTCTTCATCTAGGCCTTTTCACATCATTATTGGAGAACTGTCTTCTAGCTCATGTGTTTTTTTTCTCCACATTAACCCATCCTGGTGTCCTCCTTCCTTCTCTCTTCCTGTCATTCTCTACTTTGATTCTCTTGATTCTTGTATTCTCAAAAGCCTAGGAACCTTAGCCACACCTACTACCTTCTTTCCTGCCTAGTTATAGGCGGTTTAATCAACCAATCAGATATATCTTAGGCAGGTTTACAAAACAAAGATAAATTTTAAGGGCCAGTAACATGTATCAGACCAACCAACCTCCAACACATTTGTTATCATGGAAACAGTTTTGAATGGGTTCGTTTGTTTTGAAACTAGTTTTTCATCAGTATTGTGTTTAGATTTATGCTTTTATTTATGTAAATGTAATTAATAATTTTTTTTCTCTGATTTAGTTTTGTAAAACTGTTTATGCCAGTTTAAACACTAAATTTTTTGAGATTGTCTGAAAAAAAATTTCTTTAATTATATTTTACCTTCAAAATAGGTTATATCTAATATCATGACAATTACAGTGTTGTGTTTTTCTCTATGGTGCAACTCTTAAAACTAAGAGTACCCACACTTGTTTTCATTGTTTAGTGTAAAGTTGAATGAAATTTCTTGTACCTGGTTTCATAGGAATTGCACCTAGCTGAAAACCAGATTGAATCACTAGGGGCAGAGCATCTTCAACACCTGCAGGCCATCCTTGTGCTGGACCTAAGGGGCAACAAGCTGCAGTCTGTTCCTGAGGAAGTGGCCCTGCTCCAGTCTTTGGAAAGGCTTGACCTAAGCAACAATGATATTAGTAGGTATGTTTAAAGATTAAATGGCAAGAAATTAGAATTTATTCTTCATTGGATTATAATTAATTTTTACAAGTCCTCATATTGTAAAGAAAGGATTAGGTCCCACCCACCTCCCTTGGCAGCCAAGTTAATATATTAATGGAAGCAGCTTCGTAGAGACATTTCAGAACTCTTAAGGGCTTCTCTGTATCTTTTTCATGCATGGCTCTATCCTTGCCTTGTCTGTCAAGGCAAGTGCTTCCTGGGTATTTATTGGGCTTGGATAATGAACAAATTCTTGAGAGAAACAGGTAGTGCTTGGGTGACTTATGAACTTAGACAGGCCTGAGATTAGTTAGCAGGTTAGTTGCCTGACACACACATATCTAAGAACACAGTTTTTCTTGGGATCAGGTGGTCCTTGAGTTCCACCAGCTGATCTATAAGCCAGGATGTTAATTTCATGTGAAAGTTGGTGCATATGATCCATATGTTGGAGGAAACAGCACATACATGGGGTTCAAGTAGGGAAATCTAAGAATTTAGGTCAAATAATCAGTTTCTATTAGTTCAGAGCCACAACATACCATGAAGACACTGCCCCGAGTGCAAGCCCATTAAAAGCAGTTGATGGTGGTGAGTGTGATGCTTTGGGAAGAGGTGTGTGAGTGGCAGGCTTGAAAATGACCTGTCAGCTTAGCTTAATAATACTTGTCACTAAGAAACATTTCTCAGACCAGGTAACAACAGCTGTGTGATAATGGGGAGAAAGGGATGAAAGGAAGAGATATGTTGGCAGCTGATGGCTGTCTGTGCTGGTTGGAAAGAGCAGAGTCATAAGAAAGGAATGGTGAAAAGTTACAGGACATGATGTTAGCAAAGGATTAGCCAGCAGATCTTAAGGAGATGAAACTTCTGGGTTTATATAACAAGGGTGCGCATGAAGATTTGAGCTGCATGAAGAAAGGGGATGGAGTTCCCAGCCATTGTAGTTGTTTGTGCCCTCTAGACTTTCTAATGTAAGACTCCTCACTGCTGCTGGGGCCACTTGTCAGGAGATAGCCAACCTTCTTGTGCCTAAAACTCCATGTTATTTTCCACTGGGTGATTAGCAGTCTCTTAGGTGGGTTTGGGATTACTTAAGAAGCTGTGAAGGAAGAAACAGAGCTTGTGAGGCACCATTGAATTAGAATCTTACACACTGAGAGCTTCTAATTTGTTCTAGTTTTTAGAAGTACCCTTCTGAAAGTGGGCAGTCTGATTTATCACGGGCCTGTGGATAGCTCACAACTAGTGGTTTTAGTCTCTGTGAGCACAGACAGAGCAGATGCTTTACAGTACATGTCCTTTAGCAGCTGTAGTGTGAAGATGGAAATATATCTGGCCACCCTGTGTGTGGTTAGCATTAGAAGGGAAATATTTTAGGGTTATTAGTGCCTCTTCCTTGAAATTACTACGTGATATATTGTTATTTGTTACTTTAGAGTCATACCTTTGGTTGAATTAAACTTAACATGTAATGCTTCCTTGAAATTGATCCATTCTGTAGTCTGCCCTGCTCATTGGGAAACCTTCATTTGAAATTCCTGACACTAGAAGGAAATCCTCTAAGAACCATTCGAAGAGAAATTATAGCCGTAAGTACTATTAGAATTTAGCACCTTATTTTTAAATTAAAATTCAGAGGTGTATGTTGATGCACAAAACTTTCACATGTGCCTTGCTAATCATATTCTTCTGTTTCTACCTTTTCAGAAAGGAACTCATGAAGTCCTAAAATATCTGCGAAGCAAGATCAAAGGTACTGCTGTTGCCTTCTGTATTTTGAAGAAATATATGAGAAGTGGTGATGCCAACAGGACATCAGCTTACATGTTCTTTTATATGGATATGAGAGGAACAGTGCCTGGCATATATGGTTCTAATTCTGTATTGTACAGGCTGTCACTTATACAAATTCTTGAGGACCTCGGCGTTGAGTCACACACATTAATCTCAGCACTCTGGGAGGCAGAGGCAGGCAGATCTCTGTGAGTTCAGGCTAGCCTAGTCTACAAAGAGAGTCCAGAACAGCCAAAGCTACACAGAGAAACCCTATGTCAAAAAACCAAAAGAAAAAAAAAGTAAAAGAAGAAGTGCTTAAGGAGTTGGAGAGATGGAGCAATTAAGAACACCCAGGTTTTTTTTTCTAGAACCTACATAGCAGTGAAACTACTGATCTCTTCCAGTCTGTGCACCAGGCATGCACATGGTGCTCATACATGCATGCAGGCAAAACACTCATACATAAAACAAAAAGTAAATCTTTTTTTTTTTAAAGTTCTTGAATTCATGATTGTGATGCTGTGTCTTAGTCCTTCAGATTTGTTTTGAAATCTACCAGTTATGAAGTGCCATTGCAAGGTTTAATTTTTTTCTTTTATGTAGTTGGGTGTTCTGTCTACACGTATGTATATGCATACGTGCATACAGTGACTTCAGAGGCCAGAAGAGACTTTGGATCTCCTGGAAATAGAGTTACAGTTGGTTGTGAGCCATCGTGTAGGTTCTGGGAATGGAGTCCAGGTCTTCTGAAAATTAGCCCGTGCTCCAACCAATGAGCGGTTTGTCCAGCTACTAATGAGGGAAGCGATATCAGCACTTTGGCTCTGAAAAATGAATATGCTTTACTTTAAAAAGCTTGTTTTTAAAAAGCTCATCTGTTCCTGGGTGCTGACTTGTGAGTATATGGGTGGGATTTCAGTCTCTCCTTGTTACGCCAGATTCACGGGACCCTCAGAGACCACCAGGAGACGACTCGATGCAATTGCAAGAGAGATTTATTACGAGAGTGATCGAACACGGGACCCAAGTCTCACTGGCGCAGCAGTAGAGAAGTGGGACCCCGAGCTCTGAGTGAGCATGATTTTTAAAGGGAAAGTCTGTGAGCAGGGGTTTCCATGGCAGCAAGCAGGGGGGCACAAGTCTTGGCGTAACAGAATTGGGTGAAGTTTAGCAGGGCAGGGTGACCTTTTCTGAGGCACACAATCACAATGGCTAAGGCATATAATCACAGTGGCTATTTTTCCAAACCATATCTGAAACATTGGGGAGAATTTTCCCACACGATTCTCAACTGATTCCCATTGATTATTACCAGGGAGTTTGTCTCTATTTTCTATGAAGCATTTATTCTGTTATATTTTCTGGAGGCTGTTGCTAGGAGAGTTAACTTTGTTTTCTCCCAGGTGTACTTCTGTGATATTTCCTGGTACCTGAATTCAGTTCCTACTCAAGATCTTTATTTCAAAATGGAGTTATATTCAGGCTATCTTAAGCTCTTCATCCTCTCATGGTTTTGGTGAGCTATGGTAAAAGCTAGATAACAAAAAAACATGAATACTCAGGAAAGATGTTTTTTGGTTTTTTGTTTTGTTTTATTTTTAACATTTTTTAATTTGTTTTGGTTTCACTATGCAGCCCAGGCTGTCCTGGAACTTGCTATGTAGATGGGGCTGGTCTCCAACTCATAGAGAGCCTCCTGCTCCTGCCTCCCGAGTGTGAGAATAAAGGCTTGCACTGTTTCTCGGCTTATACTTCATGTCTATCATTTTAGCGTACACTAGAAGAGATTGGAGAAAAACGTAGTTTTCGTAATGCACCACCAGAACATCATTTGCTACCGTGTGGGTCACACACATGTCACGCACAGGTGGAGGTCAGAGAACAGCTTATAGGAGTCATCCCCTTCTGCTATATTGGTTCCCCAGATCAAACTTGGGTAGTCAGGCTTGGTGGCAAGCACATTTACCTACTGAGCTGTCATACAAGCCCCAAAGATTGATTGTTGTTGCTGTAGTTTCTTAGGTGCTTGTTTTAAAATTTTTATTTATTATTACTGTGTGTCCAAGCATAAGCTCTAATGTTGAGGTTAGAAGTGGCTTTCAGGACTGTTCTGTCTGTGGGTTCCTGGAGTACTAATCAGGTTTGTGTCACAAGCTCAAAATTTTTACCTACTGAGACATCTCATCAGCACTCACACTTTTATAGATTAAAAAACAAGGTTTGGCATTCTGGTGTATGCCTACAAATGCATTCCATGGGGACAGAAGTTTGAGGATCAGGAGTTGAAGGTCCTCCTCCTCTCCACAATGCTTTCCAGGATAAGTGTGTGGCCAACTTGGTCTACTTGAGACGCTATCTCAAAAACAACCACATGAACTTCATAGAGTTCCAATTACACACACTTTAAACAACTTTTATTCATATGTGAATTAAAGAAGCCACGTTTATAGCTTTATTCTTTACAGAAACCACATAAAATTGGGAGTTTGCACACGCCTTTAATTCCAGCTCTTAGGAGGCGGGGGCAGACAGATCGCTATGAGTTCGAGGCCTTCCCATTCTACACAGTGAGTTTTAGGCCAGTCAGGCCTACACAGTAAGATCCTGTCTTTTTTGCTTTTTAAAATGGAAGTTAAAAATAACATATCTTAGTCCACGTAGGCTGCTGTGGCGAATACTGTGGACAACATGACATAAGTGAGTAGCCAGGCAGAGGGAAATTGACTTAAGGATTTCTGGGTTAGCTATATGAACACTGCATAATCTGAATTCCTAGAAACAGGTTTGGTATTCAGAAGTCCAGTCTTACAGGATATGTGAACAACCCACCATTGTTGGTTTTGAAGATGGAGGAAAAAGGTTGTGAACCAAGGAAATTGTGTATCTTCTAAAATCTAGAAAGGGAAGAAAATAAATTATCTCCTAGTGGGACGACAATTCCCTTTCTGCTAACCTACCCAGACCCACTCTAGAAATGCAAGGACCTACCCTTCAAGGGTGTTTGTGTTTTAAACGACTGTGCTTCAGTGAGCACTGGTTATGCGTAAAAGTACTAGGTCTGGTCCTCAGCTCTGTAAAACATTTAGAATAAATTTAAAACAAATGCTTTTGAGTTTCTGATGAACTGTTAAAGTAACCGCAGAGAACTGCCTACAACTTCGAAATAAATGGTGCAGTTTGTATTTTTGTTTTCAGTTGCATTTCAGGTTTTTGCTTATGAGCAGTATTCAGGCCATCATCATATTTCCAGGTCTTTGGTGTATTCTCTCGGTGCCTGATACTGTGACAGCCAGAACAGAAGCATTTTAATAGTTCATGGGGCAAGCCTGGTGTAGTGGTGCCCACATTTAATCCCAGCACTTAGGAGGCAGAGGCAGGCAGATATCTGTGAGTTCAAGGCCAGCCTGGTCTACATAATGAGTTCCAGTACAGCTAGAGATACATATGTGTAGTTTCTTTTTCTTGTTCTTTTCTTCTTTTTGGTGATGGAAAAAATCTCTCTCCTTCCTAGGCCTCTCAGAAAATGACTATCTATTTTATTTTCTTTCCCTTCAACAGAGAATAACCAAACACTAACACCATCTTCAAAGTGAAATTGGTTTATAACGGTGGCAAGTAAATTCTTTTTGACAAGAGCCTGTGGTTTCTGACTTGTTTCTCAGACCCCATTTAGAGCCTTACTGAGCACTTCTAGGTTGCACAGATTCCCACTTCCCGAAAACATTCTCTTTCAGCCTGTGTCCATCACTCTGTGTGCCCTGCATATCCGTTTGGTCTGTTCTTTCTCTGAGTTCATCTTTCTTTGCTCTCCTGACTCACCAAGTGAATGACTGGAAATACCTTTAGATGTTTTTCTCTACCAGATTTACTGGAGTCCTGTTTTCAGCCATGTTTTTTTGTCAACTACTTAAACTTTTAACAACTTGTATTATCACCCTTTAAATTTAAAGTTCTTATTTGTTCCCACTATTCTGAAATTTTGTTTGTTTGTTTCTTTATTAATTACACTTTATTGTCTTTGTATCCCCCTTGTGATTCCCTTCCTCCTCCCATCCCAATCCTTCCCTTCCTCCACCCTCTGCACACATGCCCCTCCCCAAGTCCACTGATAGGGGAGGTTTTCTTTTCCTTCCTTCTGATCCTAGTCAATTAGGTCTCATCAGGAGTGGCTGCATTGTCTTCTTCTGTGGCCTGGTAATGCTGCTTCCCCCTCAGGGGGAGGTAATTAAAGAGCAGGCCAATCAGTTCATGTCAGAGACAGTCCCTGTTCCTATTACAATGGAACCACTTGGATACTGAACTGCCATGGGCTACATCTGTGCAGGGGTCTTAGGTTATCTCCATGCATAGTCCTTGGTTGGAATATCAGTCTCAGGAAAGACTCCTTTGCTCAGATTTTTTGGTTCTGTTACACTCCTTGTGGAGTTCTGTCCTCTCCAGATCTTACTGTTTCCCACTTCTTTCATAAGATTCCCTGCACTCTGCCCAAAGGTTGCCCATAAGTCTCAGCATCTGCATTGATAGTCTGCAGGGCAGAGCTTTTCAGAGATCCTCTGTGTCAGGCTCCTGACTTGTTCCCTCTTTATTCTGAAATTTTATTCATTGTATTTTTTAGTATCTCTCTCTCTCTCTTTCTTTTGTTTTTGTTGTTTGTTTTTTTTTTTAAGTTAGACACCTTTATTAAAACAGTTTCAAGCTGTGAAATACAGATGTTTAGATCAAGATAATTTTTTATTAAATTTTTTATTATTAATTACAGTTTACTCAATTTGTAACCCAGCTGTTGCCCCTAGTCCCATTCCCTCCCCCGCCCCTGCTTCCCTCATCTCCTCCCATACCCCTCTCCAAGTCCACTGAGAGGGAAGGTCCTCCTCCCCTTCCATTTGACTTTAGCCTATCAAGTCTCATCAGGATTGGATGCACTGTGGCCTGGTAAGGCTGCTCCCTGCTCAGGGGGAGGTGATCAAAGAGCCACTG